CTGAATCAAAGATCCTAGACTTCTGCTTTTCACATATTTCTCACAGTCTCTTTTACTATGCACAATATTCCTAATTCTAAAGTGTATTACAAGGTCACTAGCTTTGTGAAGACAGTGTCCAGTCAATCATTTATGACTTGCTCTGATTTTCTTTATTTCAATATATATCTTTCTTCTACTTGGACTTCAAAATGAACATTCCATCCAGTTTATATGTTGCTTACTTTTCAGTTTTCTAATTCATAAATCTCTATGTACAAACAAATCCTAACAAAAACGCTTTCTTAAAAGACCTCAAATGGTATGCCTTCTATAAACCAATATGCTTTGGTTGTACAAAATTGTAGGACTGGCCCTTAATTAGCTTTTCCTCAACACATGCATATTGTGACAATTTGTTTTAATCTATACAACTGCAGAATTGAAGCATATGTTAAGATGTGCCTCCAATGTAACAAATTCTTTGAAAAATATGTCACAACTACTTGATTTGAAAATATTGATCTTTTAAAAAAAAGTTATGGGGGAAATTTCATAACACTAGAATGTACCGGTAGATGTATTTGAAGATTTAGAGTTGAAGGTCAATATCTTCTTGGTCAAACAGCTTTCTGTACAGCAGGAGCCAGGAATATCTGTGTTTTCTGATCTATCTTTCATCTCAGACAGATCTTTCCAGCTGCAACCAGCTGCTACCAGATGGCTGTCTTATCTTTCTAGACCAGAAAAGCCTTCTTAATTTGAATTTTAAAAAGTCTATCCTATACTGAGTTTTAAAAATCTCTGCCACATAACAAACTCAGAAAGCTTTCTAGTTGGTATGATTACTTTTGTTGGTGATGGTGCTACAATAAGCTATTTTAATTATTACATTAATGGTTGTTTGGCCAGTTGCATAAACTGACTCTCATAGCTGAACAATTTACACTTCTTTCCAATCTGAGATTGATAAAACAATGGCCATGGCAATGTTGGGTTGTATCATGCAATATTTCCATCATGGCCTACTATGTCCTGCTCTAAGATATATTTTGCCCTACTTTATTGTTTACAAAACTGAATTACTAGAAATTATATGCATCTAACATGTGGTCTTCTTTTACTATGCCATGAATGTATGAATAGTTACAAAACAAGCTAGTACAATTAATTTTTAAAAATTTATTAGCTAGTTGAATGAATGATGTTACACCTATATTGAATTTGTTTAATTTGAGAAAAGTATAAATGAGAGATATGTTTAAGTACACCCATCTTCCCTCTGATATGAGTGAATATATTGATACTTGATAGGGATGATGGATTATGTAGAGTAGCTATTCCATAAAATGAGGGGCTCCTTCTATTTTCAGAAAAATGTAAACCAGTGGTAACTTCCACAGGAGAACGTTGGGGTAGTTTTCCCCTTTATTCTCTTTCCACCATTTATGTCTCCACTTTTGCATTGAGCTTTAAAGATCTGATTAGTAAAAGAAATATGTGTTATTTATTCATGTGGCTGAGTTTAAAGAAAAATTAATATGCAATGCTGTGACTATTTTCAGTTTATCATTCAGTTTTTCCACTCGGGTTTATTTTTGCTATATCTGGGGATTTTCATAATCTTATAGTTTTGAATGCTATCATATGCTGATCTCAGACCAAAAATGTATACATTCAAGCTGTCTCTTTAAAAAGCACCTTTGGGACAACCATGACCTGGATGGTTGAGAGTCTCCATAGACATTGATTAGTGAGTGTAGCTCTTGAGGTAGACAACCATTTTGTTTATTTGATCACACTGCAAAGAACTGCATTGTCATTGCAAAAATGTGGTATAGAAAATATGTTTTCTTTTGTGAAATTGTGCCACCACAAATACCAGAATTAATAATATTGGATTAAAATTTCAGTCTTTCAAAGTCTCATGGGACTTGATTGGAAGCCACCCAGATTTGAATATAAAATGAGGATTTATATATATATATATATATATATATATATATATATATATGTATATGTATATATATGTATATGTATATGTATATGTATATGTATATGTATATGTATATGTATATTGTATATGTATATGTATATGTATATGTATATGTATATGTATATGTATATGTATGTGTATATATATATATATATATATATATATATATATATATATATATATATATATATATTTGTTTATGTAAGTTTTCACGGGTATGTATGTGTGTATAGTTAATATTTCGGGTTTCTTCCCGTGTAATTGTGGATATATATATATATATACCCTTTTAGGGATATATCCACAATTACACGGGAAGAAACCCGAAATATTAACTACACGCACGCACACACACACACACACACACACACACACACACACACACACACAATAATATATATATATATATATATATATATATATATATTAATATATATATATATTATATATATATATATATATTTTACTTCAGATTTATATACCGCCCTTCTCCCTAGGGACTCAGGGCAGTGTACAGCCAAGTAAAAACACATAAATACATAATACATAGATTAAGAACAGATTAAAAGGAAATATCTCAATTTGGCCCACAATTTAAAAAGACAAACAAATTTAAAATCATTTAAAATCATTTAAAAGGATTTGTTAGGCCAGCCCGGCTTGTTGAAAAAGGAAAGTTTTAAGGGAACGGCGAAAGGCACGAAGGTCTTGGATTCTCCTTATCTCTGGGGGCAGTTGATTCCAGAGGGTGGGAGCCCCCACAGAGAAGGCCCTCCCCTGGGGGTCACCAGCCTGCATTGCTTGGCTGATGGCACCCCGAGGAGTCCCTCTCTGTGGGAGCACACGGGTCGATGGGAGCTCGTCGGTGGCAGAAGGTGGTCTCGAAGATAACTAGGTCCTATGCCATGGAGCGCTTTAAAGGTGGTAACCAACACCTTGAAGCACACCTAGAAGACCACTGGAAGCCAGTGCAGCTCACGCAGGAGCAGTGTTATGTGGGAGTGCCATGCAGCTCCCGTAATTACCCGCGCGGCCGCATTCTGGACCAGTTGGAGCCTCCAGGTGCTCCTCAAGGGGAGCCCCATGTAGAGAGCGTTGCAGTAGTCCAGGCGAGAGGTGACAAGGGCATGAGTGACTGTGCACACGGAATCCCGATCAAGAAAGGGGTGCAACTGGCGAATCAAGCGAACCTGATAAAAGGTCCCCCTGGCAACAGCCATCAGATGTTCCTCCAAGGACAGCTGTGTATCCAGGAGGACACCCAGATTGCGCGTCCTCTCCACGGGGGCCAAAGACTCGCCCCCGATAGTCAGCAATAGAGTCAGCTGACTATATCGGATGCTGGGAACCACAGCCACTCGGTCTTGGAAGGATTGAGCTTGAGCCTGTTCCTCCCCATCCAGATCCATACAGACTCCAGGCACTGGGCCATCACTTCAAGGGCATCGCTGGGGTGGCCTGGGGTGGAGATGTACAGCTGGGTGTCATCAGCGTACTGGTGGTATCTCACCCCAAAGCCATGGATGATCTCGCCCAGCGGCTTCACATAAATGTTGAACAGAAGGGGCAAGAGGACTGACCCTTGCGGCACTCCACAGATGAGAGGCCTCGAGGTCGACCTCTGCCCCCCTGTCAACACAAACTGCGACCGGTCAGAGAGGAAGGAGGAGAACCACCGTAACACGGTGCCCCCCATCCCCAACTCTTCCAGCCGGTGCAGCATGATACCATGGTCGATGGTATCAAAAGCCGCTGAGAGATCTAATAGGACCAGAACAGAGGAGCAACCCCTGTCCCGAGCCCTCCAGAGATCATCAACCAATGCGACCAATGCCGTTTCCGTGCTGTGCCCAGACCTGAAACCCGACTAGAATGGATCTAGATAGGACGTTTCATCCAGGAATTGTGGAAACTGTCGTGCGACCACATTCTCAACAACCTTCGCCACAAAGCGAAGGTTGGAGACAGGACGGTAGTTAGCCAATACTGCCGGGTCCAGGGAGGGCTTCTTGAGGAGAGGCCTCACCACCGCCTCTTTCAAGGCAGCCGGGAAGTGACCCTCACTCAACGAAGCCTTGATAATTCCCTGGAGCCAGCCTCGTGTGACCTCCCGGGAAGCCAGTACTAATCAGGAGGGACACGGGTCCAGTAAACATGTGGTCGCATTAAGTCTCCCCAAAATCCTGTCCACGTCATCCGGAGTCACAGAGTCAAACTCTTCCCAGGTAACATTCTCAAAACTATTCTTCGCTATCCTGCCCAGATCTACCCCGTCAGAGTCCAAATCCTGCCGGATCTGAGCGATTTTGTCATACAGATATCGTCCAAAATCCTCAGCCCTGCCCTCCAAGGGGTCCTCCCGCACTCCCGGTTGAAGCAGGGAGCGGGTCACTCTGAACAGGGCCGCCGGACGATTCTCTGATGACCCAATAAGAGCAGAAAAGTAATTAGACTTCGCCACTTTTATCACCACTAGATAGGTCTTAATATGCGACCTTACCAGTGTTTGATCAGATTCGGTGAGACTGGCCCTCCAACCGCTCTCCAGGCGTCTTTTCCGGCGCTTCATCTCCCTCAGCTCCTCAGTGAACCAAGGAGCCACAAGGGATCGACACCGGGTCAGAGGCCGCAAAGGCACGACTCGATCTAAGGCTCCGCTAGTGGCCCGATCCCAGGCCGCCACCAGGTCCCCGACCGAGTCATGTGCTAAACTATATAAATAGTTTAAACTATATAAATAGTTTAAATAAATAAACTAGGATACACTAATAAAATTTTGGATCATCATAGAAGAACTAATTCCAAAACCCACCTCATTTTATAAGCAGGACTTCTTAAGACAATCTTAGTGAACAAATTTATTTTTATGAAGAGAAACATTGCAAGCTGTTAAGATTTCATAGGTTGTTTTTTTTTTTAAAAAGAATCAATACATTCAATTGTGCTTAGAAGCTAAAAAATCTTACCAGGACTCTTGCTTGGATGATATTCGGACCTCTACCACAGATGTATTAGCTGACATGAGAACGAACAGCATTTAGATTTATTGAAATTTATAAGAAATTTATTACAATTTATTTTCTCCAAATACACTGTAAATTATAGGGTTTTCCATCTCTCAGGCTTCTTTGGAAAGATCTTGCTATAAATGACAGACCACTATACTTGGAATTACTTTTTCAAATAATATGTATTATTTTTACATAATAAAAAATTGAAATAGATTTTCCATTTGCCTTCAAGTTTTTCAGTTCCAGTGTTCAGTTTTCATTCAATCTATAACACAAGATTAATATGAAATAAATATTGTTGCATTTGGAATACATATATTAGTTAATCTATTAAGCTGATCGTAAATTTGTATGTTGTAATAAAGCTATTTTGGCTTTTTTATGAGGTCTGTTTGTGTTATTTGTGTTTTTATTGTTCATATATCATTTGTTTAATTCATTAATAAAAAAACAGCTAAATTATTTTAATGTGGTTTGAGTTGTCCTGTGAAATTTATTTTTAATAGTACATGCACATTTGTAAAATAAATTATCAGTCATTGCTTCAAACGCATCCTCCCAAATTAAAAGAATTGTATGTTACAAATTGTATAATTGTATTTCCAAACAAACAAATAAACAAAGGTTAGTTCAAGGTTTTCTGTTTGCCAGGTGAAGCAGGAAAAGTCTGGGGAAAAAAATACTAGTATAGTAGACTTTTAAAATTCACTCTGTGATCTACTATCTTAAATATTTTAGATGTGGAATATCACCAATGTGAAAAGATGTTTTTTTCCCTAGCTCTTCATACATCTCTACAAAAGACCAGAATAAGAATACTCTGAGACTTTTCTGGAGTTATACTTGCTTCAATAATATTACTTGATGAAATATAGAAATAAAGGTGAATACCAATGTTGACTATAAATTAATATCTTATTATCACAATGTTCTTTTAATTTGGGACCATATGCAATGGTTACTAAAACCATTGTTTTAGTAAAAAAAATATAACCAAACCAACATCCAAATTAAAACTTCCTTTACCAATTTAACCCAATAAAACAAAACAAACACAATGCCTTCCACACTCAAGTGAGATCAGTTTAATATCCTATTTTTTTTATATTATCCCATCCTCCTATATATAGAAATGAACTAATGAAGTTAATAGAGTATGCAGTGTATTGTTTTGATTTTCAAAGTCAAGGTAGCTAAGGCGTGTTCCATCCTCTTCTTTATTGTTCTGCACCCAGCAAATTATTCAGGAAGAGATTTAATAATATTAAAAAAAAAAGTCAGGATATTTATCTGGTTCTCGTCCCGCAGTTATATACAAAAATGTGAATAAATGAACTCTCACATTTTCACGTTTCATTTAAAAAACACAAATTATACAGATTCTAGTGGGTTTTTTTTCTTTTGATTTGCCTTTCATGTCAATAATTTACTTTATCTTAAAATTACCATATTTGTTAAGAAATATAATTTGGTCTGAAGTTCTGCATGGTACATTTCAGTCATAAATTCAGTATGAACTATCATGCTGGTTAAGTGTTTGTAAGAAGTAACAGTCTGAAAAAAAACACCTTAAGGAAAAAAAAGAGTTAATACATGCACTGCCAAAGCGAGCATACTTCATTCCTGTTCTGAAACAATTTTGATATATAGCTAGCTTGAACTGAGACCTTTTATAGACATTTCATTTTATAACGTCTTCTGATATATAGTTCACAATATATTTTGTTTTTAGATGATTTGGAATAGTGGTAAAAATATAGATTCACATGTATCTAAGGAATTTCTAAGCATATTGACCAATGGGAGGAGTTTGCTATTTCAAATTTTAAAATTGTTTGTATATTTTAAAAGTTATGTGTTAATACTTAAAATGAATAAAAGGACCAAATAAATGTTGCATTCCTGTATGGCTTTTTTTTACTGGGCAGACCAAAAAAAGGAAAAAGACATTTTTAAAAAATCTACAAATGAATTCAGAAATAACTTTTCTGAACCTTTCTGCAAAGTATTTTAGTTTAAATACTTCTTACCAAAACAAAGCAGAACAAAATCTTAAATTACTCTGTTATAAATATTATTAATTAAATAATAGTTGTGTTTATTTTATTTCTATAATGGTTTTGTTGGGCACCATAGAAACAGGCTATATCAATCTTTAGATTGTAGTGTTATATATTTTTAATATTTGTATTATCTGTATTTTATCTTGGCTGTTCACCGCCCTGAGTCCTTCGGGAGTAGGGCGGTATAGAAATTTGATTAATAAATAATAAATAAATAAATAAATTATATCACAGTGGCCTAAAGGTAAAGATGCTGGGCCCTCACTGTTGTGGCTCTGTCCTCCGAGCCTATCTTATCGGAGGAAGAAGGCTCCGAACATGAAGGAGAGGAGACGGCCAGGCCTCCCTCTCCAGGCCCCTCCTCTCTGGCAATGCCTCAGGTGTCTGCCGAGGGAGAGGAGATTGACCAGGAGCCAGGTGTCTCCGATGACAGCGATGAGGGTGATAAGTCGTTCCTGGATCCATGCCAACGAAGGGCGAGATAAACGCTTGCAGCAGATGAGGAGGCGTGCCAGGGATTAAGCTGAGTCACTGGACCACACCCCACAGGCTATATAAGAGAGTGTGGTGGCCATTTAGACTCTGTGACGGACAAAGCTAATCTCTGGCGAAGCACTTTGCACCTTCGGAACACAACACCTATTTTGCTGTGGATTCAATTACGAACTGTGTGTATTTTTTGTCTGGGTTATCGGAGTAAAAGCCCTTGGCAAGCAGCCACGGAGTTGCTGCCAAGTTCCTTATCACTGACGTTGTGTGTTTGAAAAGTTTATTTAACCCTCGGCTGGCTGATTGGGTGTGTGTTTGGTACGGGGACAGAACACTCACTTGGAAAAGTTGAGAGCTCAATCCTAGGTAATAGCAGTTGTTTCTCTGCTAGGGCACAAAGAAAAACAAATCCTACATAGGGATCTGATCAGTAAATGTTGAGCTCCATCAAGTTGTCCGGCTCTACCCCAAATAGGGACTACTGCAGGGGTGAAATGCTCCCGGTTAGGACCGGATCACCTGATCTGGTAGTGATAGCGGTGGGTGGTTCAGAGAACTGGTGGCAAAAATCCCTGCGCCCCCCCCCACCATGCCCAGCTGAGTCGCACGATCATCAGAGGCTTTTTTTTTTTTTACTTTTTAAAAGCATTTTTTCTACAACTTCTTCCATTGAAAAATGCTTTTTAAAGTTTTAAAAAAAGCCTCTAATGATCGTGCGGCTCAGTTGGGATCTCAGAGAATTTTCAAAGCATTTTTTTCTGCAACCTCTTCCGGGGAAGAGGTGGTTAAAAAAATGCTTTGAAAGGCTCTGACGATCAGGTAACACAGCTGGGATTGTCAGAGCCTTTTCAAAGCATTTTTTAACCACCTCTTCCGCTGAAGAGGTTGCAGAAAAAAATGCTTTAAAAGTCTCTGACGATCCCAGCTGAGTTGCCTGATCGTCAGAGAGACTTTTGAAAGCATTTTTTTCTGCAAACTCTTCAGCGGAAGAGGTGGTTAAAAAAATGCTTTGAAAAGGCTCTGACAATCCCAGCTGTGTTCCTGATCGGCAGAGGCTTTTCAAAGCATTTTTTTGCATTTGCAGAAAAAATGCTTTGAAAAGTTAAAATAAAAAAAAGTTGGCCATGCCCATCCAGTCACATTACCCCCTCACTAAGCCACGCCCACAGAACCGGTAGTAACAAATTTTACATTTCACCCCTGGACTACTGGATTATAAAAAGGGAGTATTATTGCTATCAAATTATGTTCTACATATCTCCATGATTGTTTACAAATAGTTAAATGTTTATAATTTTCTCTAGGATTAGAGCACTAAAATGTTTTAGGTACTAACCCTCCACAAGTTCACTTCCTTATGATTCTACAGAAGCAAAATAATTTGATTGAAACCTTTGTTTGCGCTCGTTGTATTTAAGTTTCAAGTCTCATTTAAATCAGCATAGTTTGACTGAGGTAGTAAAACACATAACAATGTGCCACAAAGTGACAAAAACAGAAATTTATAGATCTAGGAAGTCTAAATATTATATTTATATTAAATATTATATTTATATATTTCTCAAGGAAGAGCCCATTTTCCACTCATTTTTAGCCCAGCAACATACTAAATACACATTTTTTTTTATAATACAAATAAATAAAGAGGCAGAGAGAGTCACCAGAAAATTAACAACCAATTAAAAGATGATTCTATATAAAGAAGTCTGGCCTCAAGAAGAAAAGAAAATATTTCAGCTTTTGAACAAGCCATCTTAAATTCGACTGTACTGAAATAGATTGCTTAGTCAAAATACGGATGGGTGTTGTTGATCCTGCTGTAACCATTCATCCAATTTATGCTCATGCTGGAGATAAAAATAATGTGCATAAGATATCACATTATTTTGTAACTTTAAATTAAATGACAATGTACTTTGTTTTTTGGCCTTCAAAAGCAAAATTTGTGGCAGATTGAAAAATGTTTCCTTTCTATGTTGGTTTTTTTATATATAAAACAATATTTTTTGTATAAAATACTTTATAAAATAGTATCTTAGAGAACATGTAGGTAACCTTCAGGGAATGGACAAATTCCAAGGTTTCAGATGTCTGGATCCAGTTAAAACTGTCTTGGCCTTGGGCTTGTAAGGACTGGAGTCAGTGAGATTACATCCAGACAAAGCCATTGTATAAACAAGGACAGATGGCAGAAATCATCAAGGCTGGAAATTAAGAGCTATAAGGGTATTGAAAATGATCCATGAGTCAAAGCTTGGTATTTACATACCATGTAAAGCTCGGGATCCTGGGTGTAATTATATGGGGGGGAAAAAGTTGTAAGTACAGGTTCCTAACTTCAAGTTGGTGTCAATTATTAACAACCACATATAAAACTTATTGAGTTTGTTATTTATATGCCACCCAGAATCACCTTGTGATATGGGCAGCTATATGAATTGTTTAAATAAATAAACAGATTCTTTTTAGGATTAACTGAGCACAACCTGGCCTTGTAGATCTCCCAATGGTGTATGGATCATTGGTATTATCACGTTTATCCAACTTTTTGTTGGTCATCTTTTTTCTTCTTTGTCCTAACTTCCCAGCATCGTAGACTTCTCAAGAGAACTGGATCTTCACATAATGGACCTTAAAAAAAAAGCTATGTCATTTATATTTCAAGTGAGAATAACTAGATTAATTTGCTTTGTTCACTATGCCTGGTATTCTGAAGACCTTTTCTAACATCGAATTTCAAAAGCATCAATCCACTTTCTAACTTGTTTCCTTTTTTGTTACCACCAAGCATCATAACCATTGCCATTCTGATCTATTTAGATATAAACACATTGCAGCATTTAAATTTATTTTCCAAGAACTTCATTGCTACCAGGCAAAGTGCTAGTCCATGCTATATTTATTGACTTAAAAAAAAAACAAAAAAAAAACACCCTGATTGATAGTTGATCTTAAACGGCAGAAGGTATCCATCACTTGAATATCTTTATTGTCACTCAAGATTCATTACTGTTCCTGTTGTTATTGTTTTGACTATATTTAATCACAGTCCAATTTTTTTCACTGTTCCTTGACTTCATTACCAGAACTTACAAATCATTTATATTTCCAGCTATCAAAAAATGCCTTCATTACAGCACAGATTATTGCTGTTGGTTCCTCAGTACTAAACCTATACTCATCTTCTTCCAATCCAAACTATCTCTATACAGCATATAGGTTGAGTAAATAAGGAAAGAGTATTCAACCATGACTTTTTGTCAACCTAGAGAGACAAGCCAATTTATTTCCTCATGTATGCTCCAGGTTATGGCTTATTATTCTTTGTAATGATTTCACATAAGAAAAATGAGATGTTATGGGGTACCTATTTTCCTAAGGATATTCCACAGATTAATATAGTCAGCACATATTATCAAACTATGTTTTCTTCCTTTATTATTTCCATCTTTAGCATTCCAGCTTTTTTCCAGCTTCATGTTCTATTCATTTCAGGTTGAACTTGACCAAAATAATCATCAAATCTTCTGCATCAGTAGTTAAAAAACACATTTGAATTGTCAAAAAGTGATCAGCATATTATTTTATAATGCACTGCATTACACCTAAGCACTCACTTTACTATAGTTGCCCTTTCTTTGAAGGTTGAATGAAAAGCCTTCCTATGTTTTACGTAACCAACAGATGGCAGTATTGACATAATAGAAGCTCTGACGTGTTTCATAACATCCTTGTAACATTCACTTTTTTTCTTCTGCTTTTTCAGCAGGAAGTTATTGAAAAAAAAAAGCTTGCTTTGCTATCATTTATGAAATGGAAACTTGTCTAAGTACTCATCAGAGTCCTTCAGGCAAAATGTTGCAATTGAATTTTTAATTGCCGAAGAGTCTTTCCAACTGAAATACACTACTAAACGCAGTTTGTTAATGGTAATATGCTCGTGTAAATACTTTGCATTACTGGGCCAAACAATGTAAAGCAGGTAAACTGGGAAAAGTTAATTTGTGTAATAAAGAATGGATGACCTATGAGAGTAAGTGATGAGTTTCACATGACAAAGTTTGATGAAATAATTTAAGAGAATTAGTGGATCAGTTGAAAATAAATTGCTGCCAAGCTCAGTATTTTATAGAAATGTATGAGTTAGCGATTGTTTTTTCAAAATTGGAAGGTTTGTGCAAGATGGTTCCTCGCAGGCTGACGGCCAAGATTAAAGCTTCCAGAGTTGAAATTTTCAGCACAAATCTCACACTGAGAATGAACCTCAGGAATTTCTTCACAGCACTGTGACAGCTGACAAAACATGGGCTCATCATTATGACCTAGAAACAAAGTGTCAGTCCATGGAATAACCCTGCAGGGGGAAAAAAAAAATAAAAACTCAGGCTTCAGGAAAAAAAATGTTATAATTTTGGGGAATATAGATGGGGTTATTCACATGGATCTCCTTGAAATTGAAGCCAGTATAGCCTGAGAGTATTGCAAAACTTTGAACCAATGATTAAGCAAAGTTCAGAAGCACAAGGGAAAAAAACATGCTGCAATATGACAATACTAGGTATCCCTAGTGTTCTTCAAGAGGCAATTGCAAAGTTAAATCTTACTGTCTTGTCCTACTCACTTGTCCTCCAGACTTGGTATTCTGTGACTTTCATCTTTTTTCAAAAATGGAAGAAATACCTCAACAGATATCAGTTTGACTTCAATGAAGAGAATGGATTACTAGGGCTTGGTTGAAGAAAAAACTGCTCGTTGTGATGGATTTAAGAAACTTGTGCATCATTGGCAGAAATTGCATAGTGATATATAGTTTCTTAAATAAAAAATAAATTATTTTTTATTTATGAATTTATTTTTCTGAATGGAAATATAAGTAGCTAGGTATCCCAAAGACACCAATCTAGTCTTGATATAGACTCCACTAGTACTCTGAAAGATCTCAGGTCTTACTCTGTAGAATATTGAACACTGTCCAATTTAAAAGGCCAATCATTCAGCACCTTAATATTCTCTAGTACTCTGAAATAAATCTACTTATCCACCTTCTTGAAACTGCCTGAGAAATAAAAAGCAGGAGGGGGAAAACTAATTGTCATGTCTTGATAAGCATATTTTGTTCGTTCCTTTATATACCAGAAGAAACACTTAACAATTTTATTTTTATTTAAGAGCACTGATACCATCCCATAGGTTTGCCATAAATCATCAGTAAGCAGGTTGTGACTGGGGAAATGCAACTATGGATGGAAGATCTCTAAGATTTTATTGCCCTAAAACCACAACCACTATATTTTTCTAGGGCTAAGTCTTATAGCCTCTTTCTTCCCATTCAGAACTACATGGCCTCTAGACACAAAGAAGGAGATTTGATAGTATCCCTTAGATGACCATCTCAGTCCTCCTTGGATTCATATGGATATAACTGGATGACTCTCCTAATAATTTTGTGTTGATATAAAATAGGCGAGGAGAGATGGACACTGTAGATGGTACTCTACAAAGCAGAGCCCTAGAACCCTCCATGTCATTGTCTGAAACTAACCCTGAAAGGAGGAGGAAAATCACTGCATCACCATGTCTCCTATCCTACCTTCAATGAGCTGGCCCAGAAGAATGCTATGAGTAGTAGCCAAGAGATTAAGAAGGAGCAAGTTAGTTGCACCACCCCTTCCTGTTCCTAATATAGGTCAACAATAACTGCAATCAATGTTGTTTCAGTACTATGCCCAGAACTAAAACTAGAGCAGAAGGAATCTACATAACACATTTCATTCAGGAAACTGCAACCTGACCAATAATAAAATCTAACGAAATATTCCTAAAATTATTATCATTAATAATCATATTTATGGTAAAGTAAAAATGAAATGTAAAAATAGATTTTGGAGAGTGATTCATAACAATCACTGTCCATTTGTGATAAAAAGATATATTCTAGTTGGTGAAATGAAATAAAATGAACATAAGACAGGATTGTACATATTCAGTTGATTTAATTGACAGATTTTGTGTTTCCATTGGCTTTTTTTAATATATTTCAAATGTCTTACTTATTTCATTAACTCCCCCAAATCAATGCAGCACAATTATTTTTTTACTTACTTTTAAAATTCCTGAAATAACCTTTTATATTCTTTGATATTCTCAAACAATAGAAAGTTATATTTAAGCTCCTATCATACTGATATCTTTTGTTACAGCATGATTAAGTTAACTGAGCATCCTCATCAGCAGTAGTTCAGCAGGAAATTACTTTTTCATCACTATTCCACAATAGCACATGAAGTTTACTAATTTTATATATTCTTTTTTCTAGCTTGATTCAAAAGTATATGCGATTAATTGTGATCAGACAAAAGATCATACCTGTCTTAAACTATGCTACTGAAGAAGAATAAATGTTGCTAGTTCAATTAGAATTGTTTTGAATTTTATTATGCATAAACATTTTATTACACATAAACATTTCCATTGCTAAAAGAAAAATCTATTAACTGGGCAATGAAGTGAATATATATCTACAAAATAAAGCAAATATTTGATAAATACCAATACATATTATACACTTTCCATATTGTAAGGCTATGGGAGAATGAATTTCTCTATATGAACAGCTCCTAGAGTTTCAGTTTTGGTCTTGAAAGAAATTTGAAGCCAGTTTTTCTGAGTTCGAAGCAATTGGGTTTAGCATACAATGGAATTTTAACAATTTAATTTTAATTTGTTAAATAATTTTAAAGCTTTTAATAATAATAGTATATTATTACAATTATTATATTAAAAAGGTTAAATTTTCCCATGTCCAGTCATGTCGAACTCTAGGGGTTGGTGTTCATTTCTATTTCTTATCAGAGGGAGCCAGCATTGTCTAAAGACACTACCATGTGGCCAGCATGATTATATGTCGAGGTGCACAGATCACTGTTACCTTCTCACCAAAGTGTTACCTATTTATCTACTTGCATTTGCATGCTTTTGAACTGCTAGGTGGGCAGGAACTGGCTCATATAAAAGGAGCTCACCTCATCACACAGTGCTTGGGTCTCAAAGTTGGGTTACTGGCCTTCCAGCTGACAAGCTTAGCATTTTAACCACTGAGCCATTTCACCTCCAATTATTATACTAATAATTATTAAATCGAAATATGGCAAATTTCTGGCTGTGTCAGTGCTACTTTGCAGGAGTGCTGTGGCCCAGAGTTTCAGTAGGGCTTACCTTAGCCCTCAAGAGGCTGGATATACTCATCCTGTCATTGGCTATTGTAGATCATGTGTACTAGTCCTGCTCTAAGCCTTCAGAGGCCAATACTGCAAATTTTTGACATACCTGAGGATTATTGTCTGGGATAAGATTCCCATATTAAGGAGAATGTTGACAGGATAGATTGGACTCTTCGCAATATATGCAGCAAGAATGAGGCCTTTCGGAGAATTTTAACCATTTCCTGAAATGATTTTCATCAGCCTCTACCTTTTGTGAATGTAAGAAATGATACTGATGTGGAGAATTCATGGATCAAAATTTCTGTCAAGTTTGAAAAGAAATATGCAATTGAGTGAAGGAGTTCTGACTTCTTATTGGATGTTGAAGAAGACAAAAATGAAAAAGAAAAATCAAAAGAATGAAATAGAATTATTGGCACATATGGTACCAGCAAAAGCTATTGAAGAATGTACAGATTTCAGGTACCTGCAAAACGGTTTTACAATCCTGCAAAACTGTTTTCAAAGAACTCTGCCTTAATTCACCCCAAATAAATAATAAGAAAGATGAATCCCACGTGTTAGACATTTCTCTGGAATGATACAAATACATTGTTTCTTTAATGTTATCAATGAAGGAACTAAAATTATTCATACTGCAACAGAATTCCTTGATTCAATTGATCTCTCTGGATTGCCACCACACGAACTGGAATTGAAGATAGGATCCTGCATCATTTTAATGAGGACTTTCCAAGGCTTTGCAATGGAACACAGATGATTGTGGAAGAACTTTACAAGAATCTCATTGTAGCAAAGATAAACATTGGTGCGTTCAAAAATGACATTGTTATGATTCCAAGAATTATGCTCAATTTATCACAAAGTGAAGATGTCTCTTTTCAGTGGACACAGCTCTCAATAAGTCATGCTTTGCTCTCACTATACATAAAGCACAAGGGCAAACTATGAAGAATGTGCTGATTTATCTGGTAAAATCCAGCATGGTCAGCTATATCTCACTTTAAGCAGAGGAAAAAGAAATGAAAACCTTAGAGTATTCTTAAAGAATGGCAGATCAACCCCACATGTTTTCATCAAAAGTTTTGTTTATTATTATTATTTAGGATTTAATTTTCAATTTGATTCACACTGGTAACTGGAAAACTTAACAGTTCAAGTCCTAACCAAGGATCTAAGAGTTGTTAAGTAACATCTGAGTATATAGGCAGTTCCAACTAACTTTTTCTTTGTTTTTTTGCAAAGTCAGAATATTCAGGTCCAAAAAGTTCAAAATTTGCATGTATCTAAGTAACCCTCTGGGTATTGCTCCAAGAGCTCTTATTAATATTAGTACAACCATTGATTTCTTTCTCTACACTCACTCAACTTCAATATGCAGATCGCAATATTATTATTATGTAAAAAAGCATATTTTATTTGCAGTTGTAAATAAATTGCAAACTGTAAGCAGTAACAGTCAGAACAATGAAGTTCTGCAACCTTTTCTGGAAACACTTAGAAGAAGTCAGCATCTTTACTTAGAGATAATTGGAAATATTATGTATTATACATTCACATGCATATGTATATCTAACATGTCCTCTCATACAGAAGGATGTGGGAATTAAGTGAGCTTTAACAAAATGCAGCAACATCCATCAGATTCATGCACTGTACTAAGCATTTAATTTATGCATAGCAGATTTATTCAATGAACTTCAACATAGTGGGGAATAACTAGAATAACTAGTACTAAAGTGATGAATAATCAATTAAACATTTATTCAAATCCGAAGTCACACATTTCACACACACACACACACACACACACACACACACACACACACACACATATATATATATATATATATATATATATATATATATATATATATATATATATATATATATATGATGTGTGTTACAAAAGACAAAAGCAAGTTGTCAGCTTATTCAATTCCTACAATTATTTGTTATATTTTTAATGCAAAGACAAAAATATTTGGGAAATGTTTTCCTAATTAGGACTCAGAGGTGGTATTCAGCAAGTTCTGACCAGTTCTGGAGAACCAGTAGTGGAAATTTTGAGTAGTTTGGAGAATTGGTAAATACCACCTCTGACTGGCCCCACCCCCATCTATTCTCTGTATCCCGAGTTCCATCAGAAGGAAATGGGGATTTAGCAGTAACCTTCCCCTGCAGTGGAGAGGGAATGGAAATTTTACAGTATCCTTCCCGGGAGTGGTGTGGGAATGGAGATTTTACAGTATTGTTCCCCTGCCACGCCCACCAAGCCACACCACACCCACCAAGCCACACCCACAGAACCAGTAGTAAAAAATTTTGAATCCC